CATGCTAGAAATGTTAACTGAAATGTATTAGTCTCGTCAGTACCTATCGATTGACCCCAAAAAAGTTTGACACGCCCGCTCTAACGCCCATAACGCCCAAATCTGTCTACCGCCCACTTAACCATATATTGAGATCGCGGGTATGTGGCGCATGTCAATCTCACTTTACTGCTAGCATATCTCCATTTCCCTTTGGTCCTTTTAGCTGAGTAACGGGTATCTGATAGTCGAGGTATTCGACTATAGCGTTCTCACTTTTTATACCCGTTACTCATAGAGTAAAAGGGTATACTAGATTCGTCGGAAAGTATGTAACATGCAGAAGGAAGCGTTTCCGACCCCATAAAGTATATATGTTCCTGATCAGGATCACTAGCCGAGTCGATCTAGCCATGTCCGTCTGTCTGTCCGTCCGGATGAACGCTGAGATCTCGGAAACTATAAGAGCTAGGCTATTGAGATATGGCGTGCAGATTCCTGAGCTTCTTACGCAGCGCAAGTTTGTTTCAGCAATGTGCCACGCCCACTCTAACGCCCACAAACCGCCCAAAACTGTGGTTCCTACAGTTTTGATGCTAGAATAAAAATTTTAACTGAAATGTATTGTTCTCATCAAGACCTATCGATTGACCTAAAAAATGTTTGCCACACCCACTTTAACGCCCGCACACTGCCCAAACCTGTGACGCCCACAATTTGCATGCTAGATAATAATTAACTAAAATGTATTGGTATCGTCAATACCTACCGATTGATCCAAAAAAAAATTGCCACGCCCACTCTAACGCCCATAGCGCGTAAATCTGTCTACCGCCGGTAGGTGGCGCTTTTTAATCTCGCTTTGCTTCATGCATATCTCCATTTCCCCTTGGTCCCTGACTTAGCTGAGTAACGGGTATGTGATAGTCGAGGTAATCGACTATAGCGTTCTTCCCTGCAACAACAATGTTAGGGTAGCCCAAAACGCTTCGGGAAACTGACAACAACCTTTAGATACCCAGCAATAGGAACCACAAAAATTTACACAATCAATCTGAGCCAAAATATATTCGTTACTTTCAAAAATGTCGCAACCGGAAAATAACTTGTATTTTTAATAGACACTGGTGCAGACATATCGATACTCAAAGAAAATTCAGATGTTTTTCCTGACATTCAATCCGACTATTTAATAAACATACAAGGAATCAGACAAAAAATTACAAAATCTATAGGACAAATATCCATTGAGAGACTGCTAAATATATGTTCCCACATAATTTTCATGTTGTGAATTTATAATTCGTCATTCCCTGTGATGGAATATTAGGAATCGACTTTATCAAAAAATACAACTGTCAGTTAGACTTCAAGCCATCCGAAGATTGGCTTATAATTATACAAAATAATTTAAATTTCCCAATTTATGTTCCAATAACATACAGTTATGGAAAAAACTCCATAATTCTGCCAGCAAGATCCCAAGTTGTCCGTAAAATTAAAACAGTTTCAATAGAAGACAGTGTATTGATTCCAAACCAAGAAGTTGAGCATGGTATATATATAGCAAATACCATAGCATCCCCTGAAAATGCATTCACCAGCCTACTTAACACAACAAATATAGATAAAGTAGTGAGCATTAATAAATTAAATTATGAATCACTTTCGAACTACGACGTTGATCAATCAAACAAAGAAAATAGAGAAAAGTCTGTAAAAAATAGCATCCCGGGCTCAGATAGAAAGAAATGACGATTAGTAATTGACAATCGTCAGATCAATAAAAAACTATTCTCTGATAAGTTCCCCCTTCCTAGAATTGAATTCATTTTAGACCAACTAGGTAGAGCAAAATATTTTTCATGTCTCGACTTAATGACAGGTTTTCACCAAATCGAGCTTGAAAAAAGCTCTAGAAATATAACGTCATTCTCAACAAGCAATTGTTTGTATCGCTTCACGCGATTACCATTCCGCTTAAAAATAGCGCCAAACTCTTTTCAGAGAATAATGACTATAGATTTCCTTTACATGGTTGATCTAATAGTAATGGGTTCTTCCGAAAAAGATTTGTTGCATTCTGCAATTATTACAGACGTTTTATTAAAAACTTTGCCGACTATTCTCGTCACATAACTAAGTTATGCAAAAACAAGAAATTAAGTTAACTTCGGCAAGCTAAAGTTTGTGTACCCTTCCAATTATAATTATAAAATTTACTTCGAAATTCTTAAAAACAGTCAAAATGTTATTCCCAACAGTATAAATTAATATGTAAAAAACACCGAAGCTATAATTTGTTTTATATTATTTTCCCGCCAATTTTCCGATCGTTCCTATGGCAGCTATATGATATAGTCGTCCGATTTTGACAAAATTAAATTCGAAATTCAGAACTAATTAAAAAATGTTATTTCCAAGCGTAGGAGGTTATACGTTAAAAAACACCGAAGCTATAATTTGTTTCATATAGTCGTCCGATTTTGATAAAATTAAATTTGAAATTCAGAACTAATTAAAAAATGTTATTTCCAAGCGTTGGAGGTTATATGTTGAAAAACACCGAAGTAATTTGTTTCATGTTATTTTTCCACCAATTTTACGACCGTTCCTATGGCAGCTATATGATATAGTCTTCCGATTTTGATAAAATTAAATTCGAAATTCAAAACTAACTAAAAAATGTTATTTCCAAGCTTAGGAGGTTATATGCTAAAAAACACCAAAGATATAATTTTATTAAATTTGTTTTTCCTATTATTCCTATGGGAGCTATAAGATATAGTTGTCCGATCCGGCTGGTTCCGACTTATATACTACCTGCAAAAAAAATAAGACTTTTGGGAAAGTTTCAGCCCGATAGCTTTAAAACTGAGAGACTAGTTTGCGTAGAAACGGACGGACAGACGGACATGGCTAGATCGACTCGTCTAGTCATGCTGATCAAGAATATATATACTTTATGGGGTCGGAAACGTCTCCTGCACTGCGTTGCAAACTTCTGACTGAAATCAATATACCCTCTGCAAGGGTATAATAAATAAAAATTGTAATAAGAGTAATAATGAAACTGATTATAGTTATACCCGTTACTCGTAGAGTAAAAGGCTATACTAGATTCGGCGGAAAGTATGTAACAGGCAGAAGGAAGCGTTTTCGACCCCATACAGTATATATATTCTTGATCAGGATCCCTAGCCGAGTCGATCTAGCCATGTCCGTCTGTCCGTCTGTCTGTCCGTCCGGATGAACGCTGAGATCTCGGAAACTATGGGAGCTAGGCTATTGAGATTTGGCGTGCAGATTAAATTAAATTAAATCTCGATTTGCTGCTTGCATATCTCCATTTCCCATTGGTCCCTTCAGCTGAGTAACGGGTATCTGATAGTCGAGGTACTCGCCTATAGCGTTCTTCCTTGTTTTAAATTGTATTTATTGAGATCAAAATACTATGATTATAACTTCATTTAATTACGTTATTTTTCTAAAGGAGGGAGATGTAGTATGTTCACTAGGGCGGTCTACATTTGTATGGAAATTTTTAAGGTCCTACTCTCACCCGCCTATACGGTGCGCTTTGAGGTATTTAATGTACACCAAAATAAGTTTTTTGAAAAAAAAACGAGTTTTTGGGGTTTGTTTCAAAGTTTATAACTGGGTGGCCTTGACTTGGTTTTATTTTCTCAAATTCCTTCCCGAACTACTTTGAAAGCTTTAAAAAATGAAAAACTTTTCTAGTTGTTAAGACCAGAACTTACATGGTCGTACAAGATCGAATTAAATTTAAATTTTGGAAATACTGACAATAAGCTATTAAAATCCTCGAGTTGGACAATAAGTCATTTAAAACATTTCGCAAGTAATTATATTTATTTTTGAAAAACACCGTTTCATAAATGGACCTTCTGTAAACACTAATGTACCCAAATAAGGAAGGACAAAGAAGGCTCTACTTTTATATTAAAATTTTTTTCAGGCTAAAATAATCTTTGTGAAGCCGCGATATGGATTTTGTGTTACATCTTTGGCGCTTTGTAACAAAGTTTTTCCGGAAAATCTAGTCCTAAATAGATGGTAAATACATTGTGTCAAATTCGGATCCAACCAAAAATATTTCAAAATTGTCCATTTTTTACTAGTATTGACTGAGCTTAGAATGTTGACAAAGTTGGCAAAGCAAACTTTGAGTACGATTCGCAAGGTCTAAATCTCAACAAAAATTATTATACCCGTTACTCGTAGAGTAAAAGGGTATACTAGATTCGTCGGAAAGTATGTAACAGGCAGAAGGAAGCGTTTCCGACCCCATAAAGTATATATATTCTTGATCAGGATCACTAGCCGAGTCGATCTAGCCATGTCCGTCTGTCCGTCTGTCCGTCTGTCCGTCTGTCCGTCTGTCCGTCTGTCCGTCTGTCCGTCTGTCCGTCTGTCTGTCCGTCCGGATGAACGCTGAGATCTCGGAAACTATGAGAGCTAGGCTATTGAGATTTGGCGTACAGATTCCTGAGCTTCTTACGCAGCGCAAGTTTGTTTCAGTAGACTGCCACGCCCACTCTAACGCCCACAAACCGCCCAAAACTGTAACTCCTACAGTTTTGATGCTAGATAGAAAATTTTAACTGAAATGTATTGTTCTCATCAATACCTATCGATTGACCTAAAAAAAAGTTTGCCACGCCCACTTAAACGCCCACAAACCGCGAAAACCTGTGACGCCCACAATTTGCATGCTAGATAAAAATTTTAACTGAAATGTATTGGTGTCGTCAATACCTATCGATTGATCCAAAAATAATTTTGCCACGCCCACTCTAACGCCCATAACGCTTAAATCTGTCTACCGCCGGTAGGTGGCGCATTTTAATTTCGCTTTGCTGCTTGCATATCTCCATTTCCCTTTGAGTAACGGGTATCTGATAGTCGAGGTACTCGACTATAGCGTTCTTCCTTGTTTTTATTGTTGATTACATTTTTTACAGGCCTTAATCTACCATGTAAGAGAACTAGTTTTCATTTTTTGGACCACCCTAATGTTCACATATCGAGTTATGCATTAATATTATAACCAATTGTACCACTTGGCCACAATATGTAAGCCACAAATACAAGTCCCAAACAGTTCTTCAAGTGCCCGGTAATATGATCGCCTTTGAGTGCACTGGGACTGGGCAGTGCTGACCTCTCCTCTGCCGCGGCGACACTTCGCGAGCAGCTACTTATACTTTCGTCTATACATAAGCATTGAACACTGCTCTGCCGTCGTCTCTGGCGGCGCAGCTATACTCTCACTAGTTGTACGAAGAATTGTAATAGAGTTAAGAATTCATTGAATAAAGAGAACTCTAAAGAAAAGGTTGGCGTACAATCTTATTGGGACAACATATTACTGAGTCCTGTGAAGCTGGATTAAGCTGAGTATCCTGTGAAACTGGATTAAGCTGACGATCCTGTGAAGCTAGATTAAGCTGAGTATCTGTGAAGTTTGATGAAGCTGTGTATCATGTCGATCACCCTTGGGTACGAACAATTTCATATGTGAAATAATATAAAATTTCATTATTTTATTATTTTATTTAATTTTTTTTTTAACTTATTTATTTTGAACGTATTGGATTGTCTTGCAAAATAATTTTCAGGGTCTCGGGCGATTAATAACACTGAAAATATATATAAGTTTTAATAATATTTTAGTTATATACTACATTTGTTTCACAGGACAAGAACATTTAAAGCAACACAAGAATTTTCTTGTGTTGCGAAACACAATTAATCAATACATTAAAGTATCACTTACCTGACTCATGGCACTTGTAAACTTAATGTTGCCGACTGACTTATTTAAAACTCTCGTTTTCCGTCGATTCCTTTTTTATCACTACTTGACGCGTTTTCATACCCCTTACGCGTAGAATAAATGAGTTTAAATAGCGTTTCCGACCCCACAAGTTAAATATATATCCTTGATCGGGTTCACTAGCCGTGTCGATCTACCCACGCACCTCTGTTCCCGTGAACGCCGAGATCTCGGAAACTTTAAAAGCTAAAAATGTTGGGATTAAGCAGGCAGGTTCTTCGACTTTTTGCGCAGCGGGAGGTTATTTCAGCAGGTTGCCACGACCACTTTAACGCGCATAACACTAAAACCTATTTAGCGCCCACATTTTTTAATATTTTGTGAAAATTTAGTTGACATTTTTTTCTCATTATCAATACCCATCTACAAGAAAATTATTCAAATCGGACCATTTATTAAAAAGTTATAAAGTGAAAAGGGAAATGTATAAATATCTGTTTCCCTTTTTTGGCCGACAGTTTTTTTATGTCACTAACTTTGATTATCAAACAATGTTAAGCGTGGGTAACTCCAAGTTCTTCACATAAGCAAAGTGGCATGTCCCGAGTATGCATGTTTCGTTGCACATAAAATCAGGGTATTTATAGACATATCCCACTATGCAAATCGTTATAAAAATAAAATATATTTTTAGAACTTCACATATTAATAAATAATAATAAACATTTTAATTTATTAATAAGGAAATACCCACACAAATTCTTTAATTGGTTGTATTTACATTAACGAAAAATTTTCCATTATTTAAAAGGCAACGGTGCACAAAAGTGTAAAAGTTAAAATTTGGAAAATTTGATCTGTTGAGGCCGGTGGGGATAATTACCCCCCGCTATCAACCTAGTTGTATTTTCAATTAAAATACGCGTCGTATGACACCTCAACTGTCAAAATCGGATGCTCCGTTCAAAAGTAATACGCAAAACAAGGTTTTCGGGTACCTCTCAAAATGAAAATTGTATTTTGTTTGTCAGTTGTCCCAAAACGTTATTTTATACTACGGAAAATTCTAGACGATGCTAAACAGCTTAAGATAAGAAACATGAATTCTACCACTTTTGGAAAAACCAGCTAGTTTGGCGAGAAAACAGCTATAAATAGCTAAATTTTGTATACCCGTAACTTGTTAAGTTCTGAAGCTACAGGCTTTTATTTTAATTTTAAGGTGTATAGCCCTTGAGATTCCTCAACTTTTGGTATACGACACATTCTTGTAAAAATACCCGTTCATCATAATCAACAAAAATGGCCACATTTACCCGTTCAGAGCATTTTACACTGCCTGAGCATTGACCTTTTTTTGTGCGAGTCCAAACTCTATTCGAGTTTATTTCCAACAAGGGACATCAGGAATTTAGAACAAATTCCATCAGAAAAAATATTGCTCATCGCTGAAGACTTAATCGAAGCTAAGACTGTCATTCAAAAAGCAAAGGCAGCTAAATGTCTGAAAAAACTAAAAAAGAAAGGAATGTGTTTAGGAACAGCAAATTTACCAGATACAATAGAAATTAAAAAGGGTGCCAAAATAATGTTACTTCGAAATCTAGATGTTGCTTCAGGATTAGTTAATAGAGCTATAGAGATAATAAAAAAGCTACATGAAACTGAAAATATTGTTAACGCGCGCACTTGTAAAAATGTTGTAAAATTGTCTGTCCAATTCGAAGAAAATGGTATTGAGATTGAACGTATCGAATCAAAGTTTCAGCTAAATAATAATGTTTCTATAATTCGAAAACCATTTTCAATATGTTAAGCGTATGCAATTACTATTCATAAAAGCCAAGGGCTAACAATCACATCCGGAGTTGTTGATATTGGTGATGGTATATTTGCCAAAAGTCAAACTTATGTTGCCTTATCACGTTTAAAAACCCTCTCTGGCTTACATATTTTCAACCTTTATCCGAAGAGCATTAAGAAAAATGATGGTGCAATTATAGAATACAATCGGTTAAGAAGTAAACTAGAAGAGATCTACAACACTTGGTTGGAAATAACACAAAAAATATAAATGTTTCTGATAAAAACATATATTTGAGGAGGCAAACAGCGGCTGTTATTGAGTCATCTGTTTTAGGAGAAATGTTACCAACAAGAAGAGTAAAAATAAAAACGTTTTACATAATATACGTAGTATGGAAAACCCAAATAATGCTTGTTATGCGAATTATGCCTTTCAATGCCTTATAAATATAGGATTTATAAAGGAATCTGTATTAAATTATGAAAATAGTAACATTTTAAAGGCATAATTTTGGAATTATACAAACCCTTTAAAGATGGGGACATATATTAGTATTACAGATTTACGATCAAGTATTTTTGATAACATAGAACAGCAGGACAGCGTGAATTTTTTGCGAAATCTATTAGAGTGTCGTTCTCTAGCAGGAATAAAACAATTATTAGTACATAAACTTGTGGAATCGATAAAATGCTCTAACTGCGATTATAGGCAAAATATACGAAGAACAGAAAACGTAATTGCTCAACTTTGTATTCCCAAAGATAGAAAACGATCAATAAACGAAGTAATATCATTTATTACGGAAATTGAAAAAACATTCAAGACAGCGAATGTGCACATTGTGGGAACTATTTAAAGCATCAGTTTCTTATACAGGATACAGGTTGCGTACTTGTGTTCTCACTTAGTTTATTCGATTCGGCCAATAGAAAAATAAACAATTTTAATTTAACAAATGCTTCATAAACTGAGCTTAGATTTGAAAATAAAACATACAGTTTATCAAGTGCAATATTCCACCATGAGTTTATTTAATAAAAGACACAATACATTTGTCTTAGAAAAGGAGAGAGAATTTTATAAAGCCAATGACACAATAATCTCTAAATGTTCTTGGCCACGTAACAGCAAAGACGTTTAGATTCTGTTTTATGTTGAAAAGTAGTTTGAATATTAAAATTAAAAAATTTTTTGTTTCTCATACTAAACTCTTATCAAGAGTGCCAACTGGAATTTATAATATTAAAGGTTTGTATTAATTGGGCAGTAAAAAATGTATTTTTTGGTTTGCCAAAATCTTCATACTGAACCCTCCTCGAGGGTGCCGACTGGATCAGCTAAGATTAGAGGTCAAAACAAGGAAGAACGCTATAGTCGAGTACCTCGACTATCAGATACCCGTTACTTAGGTAAAGGGACTAAAGGGAAATGGAGATATGCAAGCAGCAAAGCGAGATTGATGTGCGCCACCTACCGGCGGTAGACAGTTTTAAGCGTTATGGGCGTTAGAGTGGGCGTGGCAATTTTGGATCAATCGATAGGTATTGACGAGACCAATACATTTCAGCTAAAATTTTGTATCTAGCATGAAAATTGTGGGCGCCACAGGCTTGGGCGGTTTGTAGGCGTTAGAGTGGGCGTGGATATATTTTTATACCCGTTACTCGTAGAGTAAAAGGGTATACTAGATTCGTCGGAAAGTATGTAACAGGCAGAAGGAAGCGTTTCCGACCCCATAAAGTATATATATTCTTGATCAGGATCACTAGCCGAGTCGATCTAGCCATGTCCGTCTGTCCGTCTGTCCGTCTGTCCGTCTGTCTGTCCGGATGAACGCTGAGATCTCGGAAACTATGAGAGCTAGGCTATTGAGATTTGGCGTACAGATTCCTGAGCTTCCTACGCAGCGCAAGTTTGTTTCAGTAGACTGCCACGCCCACTCTAACGCCCACAAACCGCCCAAAACTGTAACTCCAACAGTTTTGATGCTAGATAAAAAATTTTAACTGAAATGTATTGTTCTCATCAATACCTATCGATTGACCTAAAAAAAAGTTTGCCACGCCCACTTAAACGCCCACAAACCGCGAAAACCTGTGACGCCCACAATTTGCATGCTACATAAAAAATTTTAACTGAAATGTATTGGTGTCGTCAATACCTATCGATTTATCCAAAAATAAATTTGCCACGCCCACTCTAACGCCCATAACGCTTAAATATGTCTACCGCCGGTAGGTGGCGCATTTTAATTTCGCTTTGCTGCTTGCATATCTCCATTTCCCTTTGAGTAACGGGTATCTGATAGACGAGGTACTCGACTATAGCGTTCTTCCTTGTCTTAATTATACCCGTTACTCGTAGAGTAAAAGGGTATACTAGATTCGTCGGAAAGTATGTAACAGGCAGAAGGAAGCGTTTCCGACCCCACAAAGTATATATATTCTTGATCAGGATCACTAGCCGAGTCGATCTAGCCATGTCCGTCTGTCCGTCTGACCGTCTGTCCGTCTGTCCGTCTGTCTGTCCGTCCGGATGAACGCTGAGATCTCGGAAACTATGGGAGCTAGGCTATTGAGATTTGGCGTGCAGATTCCTGAGCTTCTTACGCAGCGCAAGTTTGTTTCAGCACAGTGCCACGCCCACTCTAACGCCCACAAACCGCCCAAAACTGTGGCTCCTACAGTTTTGATGCTAGAATAAAAATTTTAACTGAAATGTATTGTTCTCACCAATACCTATCGATTGACCCAAAAAAAAGTTTGCCACGCCCACTTTAACGCCCACAAACCGCGAAAACCTGTGACGCCCACAATTTTCATGCTAGATAAAAAATTGTAACTGAAATGTATTGGTCTCGTCGATACCTATCGATTGATCCAAAAAAAAATTTGCCACGCCCACTCTAACGCC